CTGGCTGGCATGTGGTGCTGGGGGATTGAACCGTGGTCCCTGTGCTTCGCTGAACTTGTTCTAAGTAGGTGCTTTAGACCACTGAGCCATCTCTCCAGCCCCCTGTGCTTTTAATATTTGATTTGTAAAGTTTACATTAATAATTCCAGCCTCAGAGACAGCATGAGTCAAATTACTTAGTACAAGTACATTTTATTGGTATTGTGTTTTTGACTTATGCTTAAATATTGCATGCCTTTTGTTCACTCACAATAAATAGTAAAGTCATGGCATAGAATGAATAACGTAAAGTGGAAGTGGAAAATTTAGTGTGGCTTTAAGACAATTTTAAAATTTGCTGTTTCTTCACATCGCTCTAAATGTTTATTAAGATATTTTGTATATTTTTATAAGCATTCTTAGAATTAAGTCAGAAATGATTAGATAGTAGTCCAAAGGAAATAAATGTAGCTTTCATAGATTTGGGTTGTATAAATAATACTAATTAAAATATTCATATCTTCACTTTTAGGGTATATGGAGTGAGACTTTTTTGGGAATTAAATTGCATGTGTATACAAATTTCCTGATGAGGTTCTTATATACAATATTGTATGTATTCTATGTTTTTGAGATTAAAACTTGACAAAATATTCAGAGGTCACCATAACTGAAACATCTGAAGATGATTATGAATATGAAGAGGTATATGTTAATTTTAGATGTTCAGTCTGTAAATTGATTGCACTCATGAACTATTGGTTTTATTTTCTGAAACATGTAACCTTTTTTTCCCCCTCAGGCAACTCTAGCTTTTCAGCTGCTACTAGTATTATCACCTGGTTAAGAATAAGATGGGAAGCTTCTGTTTAAGTATTTTATTGACCTTTTAAATTTTTCTGTTAAGTTTTCTTCAGATTCAGCTTCTTTTCACTTGCTTTGTGGGTCTAGATTGTAGGCTGCCATCTCCATTCAGGAAGCATTTCCCATCATCCTCTGTGCTCTTGTGAGAGATTCCCAGATTCCTATCCAGTTGAAGCTCAGGCCTCATGATTATTTCCAGTTTAACTGTTCCACCCTCAAATATAGTTATTATCTCAAAGCTGTCCATGTTTTCATTGTCTCTAGGAAACCTATTATTACTCTTGATAGTTGGGGGATAAAGTCATTTTTCTGTGACTGAAGCTATGGAAGTAACCCTAGTGACTTGTGGCCTGATTAAGCGAGGAACAGGACAAATTGAGGGCCACGCTTTTGATGAAATGGAGGTAGTACTGTATTCACTAAATGAATTTACAGATTGACTTAAAATATAAAGGGTGAAAATAGTTCTCAGCATATCAGATTGTGATAGGTCTTAGCTATCATTAATTATACTTCATTATCCGTTGATATTAATACTTAGTGATTTTGCTTTGCTTTGCAATAAACTAGAGATTTCCTGTTATTATGAAAAATTAATTATGGAGAAAACCAGATGGAGAGAGATTGGTCACATTTAGATAGCCTAACATTTTTTTCACCAAATTATTAGACTACATTTGCCAATATAGAAAAAAGTGGCTCATAAACTAATCTTGAGTTGTAGGTGCAGACATTGAAGGTAGTAGTTAACAATGAAGTAAGAAAGCTGTCTGCTTGTTCTCTATTTTCCACAGATCTTTAGAATGATATGGTGTCTTACAGGAAGTATATTTATTTTGTCATGAAATACTTTTTTTTTTTTTTTTTTTTTTGTGGTACCAGGGATCAAACTCAGGACCTTGTGCTTTCCAGGCAAGCACTGAAATGCTATTTATGAAATGAAATACAGTAATCTCCCCTTATTTGTGGCTTCGGTTTCTTTTTTTATGTATTTAGTACAGGGTGTGCAGGATCTACAGGGTCTCACTATGTAGATTGGATTTATAGTGATCCTCCTGTTTACAGCCTCCCAAGTGCTGGGATTATAAACATGCACCACCATGCCCAGTCTCAATTGCTGTCTTAGTGCGTCCAGCGGATTGGACCGGTACAGCAGTCGTCCAGTTCGACTTAGTTCGTCCAGGAGATCGAACCCCCGGCCCAGGGGTCTGCCTAAGCAGGTGCTTTAATCCGCTGAGCTATCTGGCCCACCCTTGTGGCTTAAATTTCTGTGGCTTTATGGTCATTTATGCTGCAAAAATATTAAATGAAAAACTCATCAAGAAATAATTCCTGTTTTAATATCTTTCATAGCAGTATATTGTTATTAATTCTATTTAATTTTATTTTTTAATCTCTTACTGTGTCTAGTTTTAAAATGAAGAACCTTCATGTGTTTATATATAGAGAAAAATAGATACGGAATTTGGTACTGTCTGCAGATCAGATGTCTAAGGGCTTTCTTAGAGTATGCCCTCCATAGATAAGGACAGACCAAAACTTTTTCTTCACACTCTTTCTTGCTCTGTGATCCAGATACCAGATGATAATATCAGCATTCCAGAAGGTGAAGAGGATCTGGCAAGAGCGATGCAGATTGTTCAAGAACAGACTACAGATGCTCAAATTTTGGTGAGAATTTTGAATACTATTGTAGGCTATAGTTTTCCAGTTGTAACTTTTAGGTGAAGTTTTGAAAGTTATTTAAGCTTTAAATACTTTATTAAATTTAACACTATCACCTGTTGTGAAGTTTTTTGCTTCTGTTTGTTACCAAGCTTTTACTTAAAGCCAGCAGTGATATTGGTTTTTAGAGTGGACATTCTCCATATCGTGGTGACTTTGGTGTCACTTTGCAATAAGCAACATCTTCCCTCAGAATTCTGATTAGCCTCACTGCAGATTAAATTATAAAGTTTCAATACTCATCCCAGAATTTGGTGTCATATGCAGCTATACAGGCAGTTATATGAGCATCTTATATCATTTATTCAATAGAAACATTCAGCTTTCATGGACCATTTGGTATATCATGTTGTTTTCTTGTAAGGCATATTAACTAATTTCATTGAGGGTTATGATAGGTCATGCTTTTTGATTATAATGCCAATTAAAAGTACACAAGACTGATAGCATTCTGTAATGATTTAGATTTAAAATGTCCCCTCAATGTGTGCTGTGCTCAGAGATGCAGCTTTGGGAAGGAGATTGAGATCATGAAGGCTCCAACTTTATCAGTGGATTAGTCCCTGATGAATCATAATTTCATAGCCCCGTTGAGGTTATAGAAGCACTAGGTGGGGCAGAGTTGAAGAAAGTAGGCTGGCGGCACATTCTTGGGCGCTGCCTTTGGTTCTTGGCCCCTTGCTCTCGGGTTCTTCCTTGCTCTCCCTGCCAATGGGCTGCTCGAGGTGGCAGCTTTCTTTTGTATTCCATGATGTTCCTGCCTTGGAGCCAACTGACTGTGCAGTGAAAAGCCTGAAACCATGAGCCAAAATAAAACTTGCTTTTGAGTTGTTCTTTTCTAGTATTTTGTCACTATGAGAGAAAGCTAACATTTCAAATGAAGTTGAAAAGTCCATTAAACATTGATCATAATTTATTACATTAGCAAACAATCTTTTAAAGAGATCTTTATATTCTTATGCCAATGCAATAATTTTTATTCAGTTGCAGATTTTACTTCTTCAGTGAAAAATACTTTGTGAAACTTCACTGTGTGTTAACACCTTTTTAAATCTTTCTATGCTTTTTATATACTTCCTTAGTGTATAAATTCATTAACTTTTTGAAAATATCTGTTTTCTCAAAAAGTTTTAAAAAGCTCAAAAAGGAAAATATCATAATTACATTCTATTATAAATGGAAGGCCCCAGCTAAGAGTAAATTGTATTTGTATCCTATGGATAAGTTTTCCTAGGTAGGCATAAAATAAAGTCTGTTATAAAGTCTTATAAGCCTGTTGGATATCTCAATGCAATTATTTATAGGTATAATTTTATTAAAATTTCTTCAGTATGTTTTCAATACATAATAAATATATTCATTATGGGGTATTGGTACATGTATATATTGCATCTTGATTTTTTAAAAAACCTTACTGTTTTCTTCACCTCTCTCCCATCTCCCTCCAGATCCCTTTCTCACCTCCAGTAAGTTTATTTTCCTATTTCCTGTTTGTCTTCCGCTTTGCACTTTAAATTTATTATGCATTGTGTTTCTCATGTACCAGGCAGTATTTAATCATCATTGCTTGATTTATTTAAAATAGCATTATGGGCTCAGGATACTTCCATTTTCCTACAAATTGCTCAAATTATTCTTCTTTATGGCAGAGCAATATACATTCATCTGTGATGGGCATATAGCATACTCCAAGATTAAGCTACAGTAGGTTGTGCTCCTAGAAGTATGGGTATGCACATATTGCTGTAATGTGATGTCTCTAAGTCTTTTGGGGAAGATACCCAGAAGAGATACAGCTGTGTCAATTGGAATTATGACTTCCATAGTGGTGGTAGGAGTTTATATTTCTACTAGGAATGCAACATTGTTCCTTCTTTTTACAACCTTGGAACAATTTCTTATTTTGTATTCTAGATGATAGCCATTCCTCCTTAGAGTAAGATGAAATCTTAAGTTGTTTTGATTTGCATTTCTATGGTGCCCAAAGATACTGAACATGTTTTACATACTTCTCTGTTGTTAATACTTCTTTTTTTGAGAAGTGTCAAATCATTTCAATTGCCCATGTTTTCACTGGGCCTTCTGTTCTGGGGGGGGGTATAATTTTTTGAGTTCTTTATATATTCTAGAATTTAGTCCCCTGGCTGAGGAGTAGCCTGCAAAACATTTTTTTTTCCCAGTTCTGGTAGGTTGTCTCCTCAATCTGTTATTTGATTCTTTTGTTGAGTAGAATCTTCTTAATGTTAAATAATCTTGTTTGTTGATTTTTTTTATGTTATTTATTATGTAATTGGCTTCTGTTCAGTGTCCTGGCCTATTCCTATGTTTCCAGTAGTATTTACTGCTTTATCTTTAAGAAATGTAAATGCTTCTATTTTAATATTTAGATCTTTGATCTATTTTGATTTTAGTTTGGAGTATGGTGAAAGATGTGGGTCTGGCTTCAGTCATGTGCATGTGGATAGCCAGTCTTCCCATCACCATTTGTTAAAGAGGCTATCTTTCTTCCAGTTTATATTTTGGTCTCTTGTCAAAGATCAGATGGCTGAACATGCCTGGTGTTGTTTCTGCATCCTTTCTTCTGTTCCATTGCTCCACATATCTGTTATTGGGCCAGTGCCGTGCTATTTTTTTTAAATCAAAAATTATTTGAAATCCAGACTTGTGATGTTTCCTACTTTTCTCTGGTTGCACAGGATTGATTTAGAAATCCTGGCTGTTTTCTGATTCTTTGTGAAATGTAGAATTGTGTTTTTCTAGTTCTGTGAAGCAAACTATCAGTACTTTAACTGGAATTGCCTTAAATAGGTATATTACCTTTGTTAATGTGGCTATTTTGACAATAATGGTTCTGCCTATCCAAGAACAGGATTTCTTTTGATGTTTCAATGACCTCTTTCAGTCTCTTTTTTCAGATGATGAGAGTTTTCAGTATAAAGATATTTCACCTCCTTTGTTAGGTGAATTCCCGTAGGGACTTGTCGGTCACTTGGTGTACCCCTGGCAGAAATTGCAGCAGGAATGAGAAAAAGATATACAAGAAAACAAGAGCTAGGTTCAGGTATATACCTGTTTGTCTGATGGGCAAAAGATCTAAACAAAAACATTAGGGACAGTTATTTATACCTTTGCAAAGTTAGTATCATGAGATACAATGTTGCCTATCAACTAATAGCTGAAATTGTCCAGAAAGGATGATTTTTTTCAAGACTGAGATAGCTTGACCATTTTAAGCTCTGTAGCCTTTTCTTGTCCTCACATATATGACCAATTTCCAGTTTCAACTGCTCCCAACAAATTCTTCCTTTGAAACTATTGTGAATGGGTTTTCCTGCTTTATTTCTTAGTAGAGTCATTGGTGGTGTATAGGAATGCTATTGATTTGTATGTATTGATTTTGTATCCTACTGCTTTGTTGAATTTATTTATTGTAAGAGTCTTTTTGTGGATTTTTAAAAGTCTTCTGTATAAAGGGTCATTTCATCTGTAAATGAGAAGTTTGATTTCTTCCTTTCCTAGATATATGCCTTTTATTTGTTTCCCTTGTCTGATTACTCTAGCTAAATTTTGAGAACTATATTGAAAAGCAGTGGAGAGAGTGGATACTCTTTACATGTCCCTGAGTTTAAAAGAAATCATTTTACTTTTTGCACTCAGTGTGAAATTGGCTGTGGGTTTGTCGTTAATGGTTTTTATCGGTTTCAGAAAGGTCCCTTATATACATATGTTTGTCAGGGTTTTTATTATAAATGGATGTTGGATTTTGTTAAAGGTTTTTTACACTTATTAAAATGATTAATGCTTTATGCGATATATGTATGCATATATATCACGTGTTATATATATATCACATAAAGCAAAGCATATATATATGCATATATATATATATATATATATATATATATATATATCTCACCGTGCAGCTCAGACTCATAGTGGTCCTCCTGTCTCAGCCTCCCCAACACTGAGATTACAGGTTTGTGCCAGCATGCCTGGTTTTGAGACAGCATGATGTGCACTGGGTTCTTGGGCTGGTGCAACATGAGGAACTGGGGATTAAACTTGGGTCCTTGTGCTTGCAAAGCAGTCACTTAGACCACTGAACTATCTACCCAGCCTGTGTATTGGGTATATTGATTTATCTATGTTAAACCTATCTTGTAGACATGATATGTGTGTGTGTGTGTGTGTGTGTGTGTGTGTGTGTGTGTGTATGTGTGTGTGTTTAGACAGGGTCTTGCTGTGTTTTTCAGGCTGTCTTGGATTATGTCGTCTAGCCTCACATTCATGGTGATCCTCTTGCCCCAGCTTCTGGTGTTGGGTTTGCAGGCATGTGCTACTTGGCTATCTATGATGTATAATTTTTTAACGATTTGTTTCATTTAGTTTATGGTATCTCATTGAAGAATTTTGCGAGTATGTTCACTAAGGAGACTTGCCTATGATTTTCTTTATTTAGTTAAATCCTTGCTAAATTTTGGTATCAGGATGATGCTAAATTCCAGGAATTATTTTGGTAGTGTTCCCCTGTTTTCAATTTCTGGGAGGAGCTGATGGAGTATTGGCATGAGATCTTCCTGAAGGTCTGATAAAATTCTGTGGTAAAATAAATTAGGGATTTTCTTAGTTGGTAGGATTTTTATTATCTCTATTGCATTGATGTAATTCATGGTTTTTCTATTTTCTCAGTTCAATTTTTGTTTTTTTATGTTTAAGTAATTCTTTATGTTCTTTATGTTGGAATATAAGATTTTGAAATAGTTTCTCATAATATTCTGGATTTTGTATTTATTGTGATTTCATCTTTTTCATTTCTTTTTTTATTTGATTTTATTAATTTTATTGAGAAACAAATAGCAATGAGATAGTTTCAACATTGATTAGTAGGACAATTTCAATAATTAATACATTGCATATTGTCTTTGTAGTGGTTATTCATAGTACAA